TCCTTACAATCTCTAACACACTCAAGCCCACTGCTGCAGACACTGTGTCAGTCCATCTGATTGAGAGTTTTCCTCTCCTTTGCTGTCCTTCTATCTTTCCAAGCATAATATCCGTCTCCAAGGAATAACCCCTCCTAGCTATGTGCCCAAGATATGCAAGAGAAAGCTTCATCATCTTTGCCTCTAAGAAGCATTCTGGCTGCACCTTCTCCAAGACATCTCTATTTGTAATGGTAGGATCCCAAGACTACTTAGTGAAGCCTGGAACTGAAATCACCTCCGTCACTCAACTATCAGCCAAATCTTGCTGCTGTTGTTGTTAGGCTTCATTGAGTTGACTACAACACATAGCATCCCTATGAACAACAGGTCTGAATCTCTCCCTATCCTGCACCATCCTCATGACTTCTGTCATTCTCAAGCCACTTGTGGTAGTGATTGTGTCAATCCAACTCATTGAGGGTCTTCCTCTCCTGTGCTGTCCCTCCACCCTCCCAAGTATGATGTCCCTCTCCAAGCGACATGTCCAAGGTATGTCAGATGAAGCTTCAGAATCCTTGCCTCCAAGGAGAAGCCCGGCTTCACCATCTCCAGGACAAACCTGTTTGTTCTTGCAGTAGCCCATGATATATTCAACACTCTTTTCCAAGGCCACAGCTCAAAGGCATCAAGTCTCCTTCTATCATCCCTAGTCATTGTCCAGCTCTCTGATGCACAGCAAGTGATTGCAAAGACCATGGTCTGTATCAGGTGCACCTTAATCTCCAGACTACTATCCTTGCTCTTCAGTACTTTGGAGAGGTCTCTGACAGCAGACTTTCCCAATGCAATACATCTTTTTTTCCTGGCTGCTAGTGTCAAGAGTGTTGACTGTGGAGCCAAGCAAACTAATGTTTTTTACAATCTCCGTCTCTTCACCACCCATCCTGATGCTACCAATCGGCCCAGTGGTGAGAATCTTTGTTTTCTTGATATTGAGCTTCAGTCCATATTGAAGGCTGCAGTCCTTGGCCTTCTGTAGCAAGCGCTTCAGGTCCTCCTCATTTTCAGCAAGCAGGGTTGTGTCATCTGTATAACGCAGGTTACTGATGAGTCTTCCTCCAATCCTGATGCCATATTTCTCCTCAGAGAGCTGATCCTCCCAGATAATCTGTTCTGCACATAGATTGAAAAGGTATGGAGATATGACACATCCCTGGCATACACCTTTCCCACTTTTGAACCATGCTCAATTCTAATGACTGCCTCCAGGTCCAAGTATAGGTTTTGCATAAGAATAATCAAGTGTTCTGTGCTTGAAGTTGAAGGCTGTAGTCTTTGAAATTTTGCAGTAAGTGCTTCAAGTCTTCTTCACTTTCAGCAAGCAAGGTTGTGTTATCTACATAACACTGGTTGTTAATGACTCTTCTTCCAGTTTTTCTTTGTACAGTCCAGCTAGCTTCTTGAGTGATTTGCTCAGTATACAGATTGAAAAGATATAGAAAAAGGATACAACCATGACACACACCATTCCTGGTTTTAAACACTGCAGTGTTCCTTTGTTTTGTTCAGACAACTGCCTCTTGGTCTATGTGAAAGTTTCACATGAGCACAATTAGGTATTCTGGGATTCCTATTCTTCTAAATGTTAACCATAATTTGTTATGATTCACACAGACAAAAATGCCTTTGCAAAATCAATAAAGCACAAATAAACATCTTTCTGGTATTCTCTGCTTTCAGACAAGATCCATCTGATAGCATCAGTGCTATTCCTCATGCCACGACCTCTTCTGAATCCAGTTTGAATTTCTATCAGTTTTTTGTCATCATACTATTTAGCCACACAGTAGACAGCCCTATAACGTGATCAATAAAACTAGAGAAATTAATTCCTTAGAACAATAAACCACACAAGATCAAAAGGAAAGCGTTTGCCTAAGGATAACTTTCAAAAGACTGGTAGGGTAGAAGAAGGAATGAAAACAAGTCTGACAAGGAAATAGGAAGCATACCGTTATGGTATGGAGATTGTAACCAGTGTTACAAAACAAAATGTGTATGAATTGTTGAACAGAAAGCTACTTTGCTTTGTAAATTTTCACTGAAATAACAATAAAAAAAGTTAATGGGGGGGGGGGAAGAAAAATAAAGCTGTGACAAGAAGCATCCAAGGGAATGGCCACTGTATTTGGTGACAAAGATGTTTATAGCAACCTGGGGGAGGGTGGCTGCCTTGGTGTGGAGAAGAAAACAGAGTAGGGCAGAAGTGAAAGATAAGATAGCATTAAGAATATGATTAGGCATTAAGCATACAACAACAGCCCAGAAAAGAGGTATAACGCTGCAAAGAGGTCTGGGGGGGTGGAATGGGGGATGTAGGTAATTGTGCAAGAATGAATGAATATTTAAGAAAAGTGAACTGAAGGAGGGGGAAGGAAGGGAGAGTGGGTAAAATGTGCAATAATGAATGAGTGAAAATCTAACTTCTCTGTAAACATTCGTTAAAAATCACAGTTAAAATATTATTTTTAAAAAAGAAGAAGAATGCAAACAGCTTGTTCCAGACTGAAGAAAGGGTGATGGAAGTGGGGAACTGACTATGTTGTTTGGGAGGGGACACCCAAACCTATGCATATGACTGCATAAGAGTGAGAAAGGGTAAACGAATGTGAGTGCATGAAGTGGGAGTGCTCTAATATTTCCCTTCTCTTTTGCACTTATGGGGGCTCTGGTGGCCTAGTCTGTAGGAAATTGGACTGCAAACCCAAAGTCAGTGTCTCTCTGGTGGTTCAAATCCAGCTCTGTGAGAGAAAGATCTACTCCAGTGCTATTTACAGAAGCACTGTAAACTTGAAAACCCACTAGAGAGTCAGCTATAAGTCGGTTCCTGCTCACAGGCAATGAGTTTGGGTTTAGTTGTTGTGGGTTTTTTTTTACTTTGGACTGGAACTCTGTCTTGGTTTTATAGTAACAGAAATATTGCTGTAACAGAAATATCACAAGTGGGTAGTTTCAAAAAACAGATCTTTCTCCTAGTATAAGAAACTCCCTCAGAGCAGGTGGTGAATTAGAACCGTGTGCCTTCAGGATTGCAGCACAGCTTCTTACTACTAGGGCCACCAGAGCTCATGTAGAAAACTAAAAGTCTAAGTTCAAGGCCCTGCCTATAAGGGGAGATCCCTTCTTTTCCATTTCAGTTCCTAGTCTTACAAATTCACTTGCTTCCATTGTCTTTGAGACAACGTCCATTTTCCCAGTGTCTGCTTGCTTGTATCCAGGCTGCTTCTGAAATTGTTCACTGACCATGCACCTCGTATGGAAGAGCAGAAACACTATGCCATGGAAGACAGTCCAGAAACAGATTGAAACTGTCAAGGACTTTATCGTACTTTGATCCGCAATCAATATCCTTGGTACCAACAGTCAGGAGATCAGGAGACAGAAACTCTCCAAATTGCTGAGGACCAATCATACTAGTTTGAGGACTAAGGCGCTCCTGATTCAGACCATGGTCTTTTTAAATCACTTGCTATGCTGCTGAGAGCTGGACACTGAATAAGGATGACAGAAGAACTGATGCTTTTAAACTGTGATTTTGAAGAAGAGTGCTGAGTACCTCATGGAGTGCCAAAGGAATAAATAGGTATATTTTGGAGAAACTGCAGCCAGCGTGCCCTTTGGAGGCAAGGATGAAGACGTTTCTTGCATACTTTGGGCATGTTGCTAAGAGAGATTATTCCTTGAAGAAGGACATCATGCTTGGAAAGGTAGAGGAATGGCAAAAGAGAGGAAGACCTCAAACAAAATAGATTGACACAGTGACTACAGAAATGGGCTTGAGTGTGTCAGAGATTGTGAGGATGGCACAGGATAGGATAGCGTTCAAATCTGTTGTTCATAGGGTTGCAATGAGTCGTAGTCAACCCAAAGGAACTTAACAACAACAACAACAATATGTTGTTCAGCAATGATTAGGTTTAGGACAACATTCTACATTGATAAGAACTCTAGCATAACTAAGGAAACTCTACTCTCAAATGGGATCATATCTCATCCACAAGTATGCTGTGGTTTGTGTTAGTTACTGTCCAGTGGATTCTGGCCCAGGACAGCCCTATGTTTTCCCATGTGGTTTTCAAGTTTGTGTCATTTGGAAGCAGACTGCCAGGCCTATCTTCTGAGGTATCCTTGGGTCAGTCTGAACCACCACTTTTCTGGCTAGTAGCTGAGCACTTAGTCATTTGCACTACCCAGGCTCCTTCACAGCTATAGGGGTTAGGATTCAAACATGAATTTGTGGGGTGGGTGTTGCATAATTCAGTCCATAACAGGCTCCTGAGGTGCGGGGCCCTGGCCCTAACCAACATGTCTCCCAGGTCTACAGAAGGGACACACTTTCAATAAGATAGACTGACAGATCCTGACTGGACAAGGATGCCCACACCAGCCTCTTCTTAGGGAAGCACAGATTTTGAAGGCAGAGCCTAGACAAGCACAGTGTTCAGGATAACCATGTCAGGGCATGGTGAAAGACAAGAGTCACTCCTGAGATCTAGTCTGAAACTTCCTGAATCACGAGAAAGGTGGATAATCCATGACTTTCTCCAACCCAGGTGAACCCTTCAACAGAAACAGCATTTCCAGAACTTCCTGAATGAAGTAGTGAGTCTATTACCATCAAAAGAAGCAAGCAATTTAGCTTTTTTGTTGGAAAGTAGTAAGTGGCCAAGGTCACAAAAGAACTAGAAAAGATCAAATGGTCTGTGCAGTCAGACACTGACATTAAAATGCTGGATGACCTTGGGCTTTAATTTCTCCGTTTTAAGGTTAAGTAGAACTCATGATTCCTCTCTTAAAAATTGTTTTCAGATGTTACAAGATACTATCATTTAAAATCAACCTGCCACACTCTTAAGACTCAATAACTCAAAAACAGTAGTAGAATTCTATCAGAGACTGAAGTGGAAATGAACCCCAGAGGCTAAACTGTCAGGACCCTGACATCCCAGGTTACTCACCCGAATGCCCCGGCTGTAAGGGATGAGCTTAAGAATTCGCAGAGATTGCAAGCCATCAGCAATGTTGAGATAGATGTAGTGGTTGCCCTTCAACTTCCGGAGAGCATAGGGGATTGAGAGGATGATGATGACAAGGACATCCAGAAGATTATAACCATCCTTCCAGTACTTAATCGGGTTCACGTAGACCTTCAAGTAGAACTCAAAGCTGTACACGGTTATACAGAAGACCTCCGCTGTCTGCAGGGGTGGAAAGCCGGGGCGGGGGTGGGATAAGATCAGGTCAGATCAGGCTGAAAATCCTTATAGTTCTGCCCCCATCTCTGTCTGCCTGGATCCCTCAATCGAGGGATTGGGGGGGGCGGGTTGTGCTCAAGAGCTACCCTCATGAATGAGAAGCCCAGCCAAAAAGATATTCAGAGTGTTTGGTGCCTGCTTCTATGTTTTCTTTATCCCACCACCCTAACCCTGAGGTCAGGTTTGAGCCCAAATGCTCAGGAAACACAGATGCATTGACAGAGTGACCATACAGAGCCCAGTATAAGGCAACTCGAATGCTGTTGTTATTGCTGTTGGGTGTCGTTGAGTCAAGTATGACCCATAGGCCCTATAAACAACAAGCCTGAATGCTGCCCTATCCTGTGACACCGTCATCTCTGAGCCCACTGTGTCAATTCATCACAGTGAGGGCCATTCTCTTTTCTGAAGGCCTTTCTAAGCATCAAAGATAAGTTTTCTAGACAATCTGAATATATAAACTCTTAGGAATACAGATAAAATACTCAAATATCTACTCATGTTTATTCTACCATCATCTATCTCATTACCGTTGAGTCAGAACTGACTCATAGCTGACCTTCAAGCACATTTGTGGAGGTTGTAAATCAGGTGGGAGGAGATTGCCCATTTTTCTCTGTTGGAATAACTGATGAATTTGAAATGCCTATCTCTGGGTTGTCAGCTCAACTCCTTATTGACCAGAGGCCACCAGAGCTCCAACTACTCACATAGTTAATCATATAACTTGAACAGGAGTGTTTCTGAAGCAATCATGTTGAGTTGTTGTGTGGTTTTTTCCACTTTCACATATAATGATCATTTTCTTTAAATTCTTCTCATGACTCTTTAATAGCTATGTTTTTACCAAAAAGAGCACTTTTTGAGTCATCTGAGTTGAGTTTTTTTCATCATCCAACTAGAGTTCCACTTATATTGACTTATTATCTCAACTCCCATGCAAATCATGACAGTCATTCAGAGAAAAAGCTTTAGTTGAGCATCTACTATGTGCCAAGCAAGTACAGTTGCAGGTACTAGAAAATGTAACAATGAATAAAGGAAGCTTAAAGGAAAATAGAAATAAGTGTCGAAACAAATATATACATATATTAGATAAGAAGTAAAATAAAAACCACAAAAAGAGTTTGCGGGATTAGTCAGTTTGCAGAGGGGCAATTATTTTAGAAAAAGTTTTTAAAATAACTTAGAATCCAGGAATGGCAACAGACTAAAAACTGTGGGAATGCTTCTAGATACAGGGACACGGTGAATATAAAAGTTCTAAAGTGGAGGCTACTCAATGAATCGCAAAGTCAGGCCGCCTAGTTAGATAACAAAGCAGAGGAGAACCGAGGGGCAAGCTGGCCAGAGGGGTAGCACGCTACCCAGGCCTGGAAAGGGCTTTCATTTACATCTCAGCCTGGAAGAACTTTTGGGTAAGGGAGAGTTGGCAATAATAGCAACCACCATGATAGTTAGAGGGGATATTTGTCATTATTCAGGCAAGAGATGGATTGGATTAGAAATTACTGGTGGTAGCAGAGGA